CTTCATGCGCTTTTAAATCAAGTGTCAGCCTTCACAACAATCTTATCTCAGAAGAGTTATGCAGACCGGTGTTTTCTTTGTATAAATGTAATTTAATTTTAAAATTCACGGACAGGCTAATTCGTGTGGATTTGGGTCGATCGTGCCCCTTGTTCGGGATACGATGATATCGCGAGTCACGATCGATTGCTCTCAGAGTCATGCGATAAGAACGGCCCTTTAGGACGCTTGGGCAAGTTAAAATTAGAGCATTGCTTTGTCCCACTAAGGGCAGACTGGCGGTCAGTCTAAAATGAAATCAATCGAAGCACTGAACTATTGCATCAAGTCGTAGATGGAAAAAGCTACCTCTTCCCACTGACTGAGACTGGTCCCGTTTTCCAACATCAACGCAAGTCTATTATCCTTTTTGCCATATCGTATGAAGTATTGATCAGGGACAATCGAGGTCCGATGAATAGTGTCCAGCGTGAAAAGAGAAAGAGATAGAGTGGAGGAAGGCATGTGCAAAGGGTAGCATTTAATACATTGATTTGTGCTTTGATAATCAGGAAAGAGCGAGTGAGCGAGAGAGAGATGAAAGGTTGGTCGCACATGCATGGGGCATTTGACGGCTGGTTTGACTTCGCCAAGTCAGAAAACATCTGGCCTCCGTTGGATCGATGCGAAGCGTTTACACGCCGGCAGTGAAAAGCTGAAGGAGAGGCCTGAATCGAGACAGTATGTGATCTGTCTATCCACCCGAATGAATTGAGGCAGGCCGAGTAAATTTGGAGGAAGACTGTCAGACGGGATGTCCCAAAATGAGGACATCCGACGGGAGGCTACAGGACGGCAAAATGACGGTAAGGCGTGGCGTGTCCCGGGCGAACTCGGGCCCTGCCCGGCTTGGCAGGCGGCCTGCTCATTCGGCCGACGAGGCGAGTTTACGTGACAATCATGAAGTGTTTTGGAGCGACTTCAAGTTGCAGTCGTTGAACACAGCGGGTACAGTCTTGTCTAAAGGAAGGAAATACCAAAACAATTCTGACAAAAACAGTCGCAAACAGGTATCCTACCCGTTGGATGTGGCATAACGCGTTGTTTGCTAATAAAGGGCTTGAGATGTTATGCAATTAGGCAAGATGCGACGAGATAAGACGAAATAAGATGGTACAGGTGGTTTGATATGAGAGAAAGGATTAGATAAAAATGAAAAGGATAAACGAGATGGTTTGCATGAATATAAGTTGTAATAATAAAAATAAGGGATGAGATGTGACGGGAGATACGATACGAAAAGTTGTGAAAATATCGGATTTAGTGAGTAGATAAAACATGGCAGGCCAAGATATTAGATGCACTGGAATAAGTTACTCATGTTACTGAAGATAAAAAGCAATAAGCTGGAGTGAGCTGAGTTAAAGTTATGCGTGGATATTAGTTGATAGGGCATATGAGAAAATGAGACTAATTGAGGCGAGATTGGAGTTAATGGAAGATAATAAATGCAATGAGATAACACAAGCAGATATGAGATAAAACGAGTTTAGATTTGATAGATGGATGCGAAGCGTTTACACACCGACAGTGCAAAGCTGAAGGAGAGGCCTGAATCGAGACAATATATGATCTGTCTATCCACCGAAATGAATTAGGCTGATTTGAGGCAGGTCGAGTGAATTTGGGGGAAGACTGTCAGATTATGTTGCTGGAGCTGAAAATGATCGGAGCAGAAAAGATGAGATTAGGTCAGATAATCTGAGATAATTTACGATAAGTTTAGCTAAAATAAATTAGATGGTATGAGATAAAATGAGAACGAGTTAGTTTAGTTAAGATAAGATGTAGCTACATGAATTGGTTTGCTACATGCTATAGATTGAAGTGAGTTTAAGTCGCTCTGATAAAATCTGTGGCGAGTAGTTGTTAAAAGTGTCTGTAGGTATTGAATAATAGCTGTTTCCACAATAGGTCTCATAAGATGAAGAAGAAACTACCGTTAATTGTTGCATAATAATAGGATCAGTAATTTCGTTTCTATCGTATTTCACATAGCTTTTCTTCCCCAAAGTTTTTCTAATCCCGGGTTGACCCAACTTTCCTCACAGCCTGAGTTGAATCAGCGTCTCCATTATAACCGAACCCCAGTAGTGCTGCCTATAAGTTTGGCATGCTATCATTACTCCACAATGCCAATGTCGACTGTGGACCAAAGATTTGGCGTGAATTTCAAATCAACCCAAGCCCTTCCCCACCGCTTGTTTTGGGATTCACAATGAAGTAAACTTCGTTTTGTTATTACAATAAACCGCATTACTTATAATCGTATTCAGTAGGTTGGGAAACTACAAGTAGAACTAATATTAGTGCTGTTATCACCGTGTCGCATGAGATATTGAAAGATTGATAGCTCATTTTTACCACATTTATGTGAGAAGACATCAAGCTTCACAAGTATTCTATGTAGCCCTTTTTCTTAAAACTTATATTCATTTTTAGTTGACTGGATTCTTGCCCCCGACTTGGTCTCATCAACATCCCTAACGGTCAAACCCTGCTTGTGCAGCTTTTAGTTTTGATGTTAACTCTAAGCCACACTAACAGGTGCGCCACATTGGATAGTTTCCAACCTACCTAGTACAGATATAAGTAATATTGTCGGTTGCAGTAGCAACAAGATATTCACTTTATCGATTATCTTACTGAAAATATATGACATGTGCAAAGCCTGACATGACTTTTGTATACATTTATCTAACTATGGATAAATGTTAGTGTGTATGCTTGTATGCATACATGTTTGTATGTGTGCATGTATGTTTGTTTTTTATGTCTATGTATTTGTGGGTGTGAATGTATGCATGTATGTATTTATGTATGCATGTTTTTTCAATGTTCGTATATTCATGCGAAGGAAAGCATGTATTCATATATAGGTATTTGTGGGCACGAAACTTCCTCCTTCGGTTAGGAAAAAGACGTACCAATACTTCGTGCGTCATGCCACCAGGCTGATATAGTCATTCTGATAACTTTTGTTGAATACTGATTCAAAAAATCTAAATGAAACTTGTCATGAAATTTGCATTAAATAAAAAGCAAATTGAAACAATTATTTTGCTTCTTTTTCATATAAATCTTTATGATTGCGTGGATGAGCTTGTTGGTGAGCCTGTAAGGATATAAGTCACTCACACTTTTCACTTATTTCAAAATGATACAACGTCACTACCTATCAATTAATTTGTAACTATCCAAAGACAGACTTA